TATTAAACTGCTAAATTTAAAATAACAGTATTATTTAAAAAAAAAAAAAACAGAATAACTTGTGCTATGCTTATTAGAATATTTTGAGAGACACAGTAGATAAATTATACACAGCCTTAGTTTCTAAAATATGAAGCACTAATCTGAATATTTCTTGAATAATTTCCTATTTATCTTAATTTCATCGAGTAAATTTCAATCATTAAGTTTACTCGATTAAAATTAGAATTATAAGCAAATAGGCAACCGTTGTTTTTTTCTTTTTTTGAAAGTAAACAATCACACTATCACTTATAAAAACAATGCAATTATATGTATGAGAAATTGCCGATGACTTTTACAACTATTATATAAGGTTTGTGATATAGCGAGTCAATTTAAATAATTATTTGAGACAATATTATATAAATAATTGCTTCTTTACTTTATTAAAATATAAGAATATTGAAGATCAAATTAAATAAAAATGTATCAATAATACTTATATTTAAATAAGCACACTCCATAAAAATATATTTGTATGATGCTTTAGTAGTGGTGTAGGCATAATAGAACTGTTAACAAACAAAAGGAAATATTGTATGTTGGTTTATTTATTTAATAAATTAACGAAATGCATTTAAATGAGCATAATAAAATGCTAATTCTGTATAATAATTGTCTGAGAACCTTTAAAAAATTCATGAAATTAACAAAGAAAACAAAAGATGATCTATTTAAGAACTAGAATTGATATTTTCATTGGGCATACATTGGCTTAATTAAATAAAAACTCTCAAGTGAATATGTTGGCTTCCTCTTCTAATTTCATTTAAAGGCTTATTAATTGATAAGTATCATCTTATTTTTAAAATTACCCTTTGAAGATATTAGTTTAATGAAAATTATCATATAAATCAAAGAGCAAAAAGTAGTAATCATTGATGAAAAAGAAAAAATTAAGGAAATCAAAGGCATCCTGAGTGATAAAAAAATGATTATTTAAAAATACGCTAAAGCTTTTTATAGAGATCCATTAATATATTTTATTACCTAAACGAAATATGATATTTAATTACAATTTATGATTTATATAACTTTTGATTTGGTTTGGATTTGTATATACTTAAATAATAAATTGAAATCACACTCATTGATGTTACCTATTTCATGGTATATTCAATAGGTCAAAAAAATAGAAGAATCAAAATCAAAAAATATTTAAGTCATCATTTATTATTAATACAAAAAATGATAAAATTATGAATAAAATTTGTATTTTATCATTTAAATAGTTAATTTAATATCTCTATTTTACATTTGCCTTTTAAATGTACACATGGATATAAATCTTTGGATGTATCAATAGTCAGAGTCTAATAATTATAATTTGATCTTGATACAAATGATTGATTTGTAGATTATTTTGTCCATTTCACATATTTCTTTTAGATATCAACTTCAACTATTATAATATCATTTGTTGAAAATGTAAATGCTATTTATTTATCATTTTTATCTAATTAATCATGATTATAACAATGACCATTATTATATATATTATATGTTCTATTTATGAACTATTAATATCATAACACATACCCTCCTCCAATACAATAACAATTCCTATATCCCTTAATCTACACGATATCCCTAAAATCAATTCCAATCATAATATAAGACATTTCAATAATTTTAACAGCAAATAAAATGACTCCATTCTTAGGAATCATTTAATCACACATACAACAATTCCAAGAATCCTCATTATTCTCAATAACCTTTCCATTCTAAGTTACAGAACAATTGCTATGCTTATAAGTTGTTGAGAATGTCAATTATTAAGAGAATTACAAGTTCAACTTAAATTTTAGATTTTACTTTTACCAAAGTTAATTGTAATTATTTGACTATTTCTTCATTCTTTTGATTTGACTGTTAGAATCTTTCTAACTATTCTTGTTTTTCTTTAAGTTTAACTTCAATTTATCTATCTTTCAAATAAAAATTTAATTATTGCTTTATTATTAGTTCTATATTTAATTTT